GTGTGTGTGTGTGTGTGTGTGTGTGTGTGTGTGTGTGTGTGTGTGTGTGTGTGTGTGTGTGTGTGTGTGTGTGTGTGTGTGTGTGTGTGTGTGTGTGTGTGTGTGTGTGTGTGTGTGTGTGTGTGTGTGTGTGTGTGTGTGTGTGTGTGTGTGTGTGTGTGTGTGTGTGTGTGTGTGTGTGTGTGTGTGTGTGTGTGTGTGTGTGTGTGTGTGTGTGTGTGTGTGTGTGTGTGTGTGTGTGTGTGTGTGTGTGTGTGTGTGTGTGTGTGTGTGTGTGTGTGTGTGTGTGTGTGTGTGTGTGTGTGTGTGTGTGTGTGTGTGTGTGTGTGTGTGTGTGTGTGTGTGTGTGTGTGTGTGTGTGTGTGTGTGTGTGTGTGTGTGTGTGTGTGTGTGTGTGTGTGTGTGTGTGTGTGTGTGTGTGTGTGTGTGTGTGTGTGTGTGTGTGTGTGTGTGTGTGTGTGTGTGTGTGTGTGTGTGTGTGTGTGTGTGTGTGTGTGTGTGTGTGTGTGTGTGTGTGTGTGTGTGTGTGTGTGTGTGTGTGTGTGTGTGTGTGTGTGTGTGTGTGTGTGTGTGTGTGTGTGTGTGTGTGTGTGTGTGTGTGTGTGTGTGTGTGTGTGTGTGTGTGTGTGTGTGTGTGTGTGTGTGTGTGTGTGTGTGTGTGTGTGTGTGTGTGTGTGTGTGTGTGTGTGTGTGTGTGTGTGTGTGTGTGTGTGTGTGTGTGTGTGTGTGTGTGTGTGTGTGTGTGTGTGTGTGTGTGTGTGTGTGTGTGTGTGTGTGTGTGTGTGTGTGTGTGTGTGTGTGTGTGTGTGTGTGTGTGTGTCGCATAACTCATGAACCAATACACATAAAAACACCAAATTTTAAACTTAAGCTTTGTTCCAGCATCTAATGAGCTGATTAGATTTTAGGCAGAGTCGGAACATCTGGGGGGGTACTTTATAGGTGTTTATTTTTATATTTTATGGAATATATCTGTTATTTACGTTTGGGGAAGAAAATTCTTTAAATAAAAGTTACTTCTCATATTATTATCTATAATTTTTGTTTCATATAAAATTTTCCTAAAATGGTCCGTATTCGAGAAATTTGACAAAATGTAAAAAAAAAATTTTTATAAAAATTGTTCAAACAAAAATTGTTTGTAATATAATTCTCTATAATTTTTATCCTATATATAATTTCTCTAAAATTGACCGTATTCGAGATATTTGAGAAAATGCGTCAATTTCGAAATTTGAAGAAAACTCAAAAACGGTTTAAGAAGAAAACATTAAATTTTAAACTTAAGTTTTATTTCGGCCTGACGTGAACTGATTATATTTTGGACAAAGTCGGAACATCTGGGGGGGTACTTTATGGGAGGTCGTTTTTATATTTTATAGAATATATCTGTTAGTTTGGTTTGGAGAAAAAAATTGTTCAAATAAAAGTTACTTCTAATATTATTATCTATAATTTTTCTTTTATGTAAAAATTTCCTGAAATGGTCCGTATTCGAAAAATTTGACAAAATGTGCAAAATTCTGATTTTTATGAAAATTGTTCAACTAAAAGTTGTTTGCGATATCGATCTCTATAATTTTTGTTTATACATGATTTTTCTAAAAAATTGTAGGAAAAGTGCTAAATTTAAATTTTTCATTATTTTCGTTTTCAATGAATATCTATAGAAAAATGTTTTTAGGTAGATGTATGTGGAAAATGTATATATTTAGTTTATAGGTTGTACAAAATAACCGGAAAAAGCCTGTAATAACTAGATAGGAAAGTCATGTGTTGGACACATCAGACTTTTTTAAATGTAACACCATTTCATATCACTACTAAAAATTACTCTAATTATACGTTCGTTTGAGTAAAATATTGCCTATCCCTAAACACAACAGTTTAGCACGATTCGTAGATGAAATGTTAAAATGGGTTAATTATAACTAAATTCACAATGTAATTTGATTTAAACTCCTGTTAAAATATACTGTTTAATCAGTTTATATTTTTAAGGTACCTAGCTACAATTTATTATCAACTAAATTTACTTTCTTTACTTTTAAGGTTAGGTTCACCCTGTATTTCATTAAACACAACAGTTTAGAAGATATTTTATATTTGAATGAAAAAAATATGAGCCAAAAATAAGTTATTTTAATTTTTTTAGAATGCAACAGTATATTAAAAAATGAAAAAAAAAGCTATTATAAAAGCTGCTCAAAGTGACTCCCTCCAACTGCAATACAATGTTGTAATCTAGCTTTAAATGATCTTTGAACGTTTTTCAAACATTGTACATCTATGCTCGCGAACACTTGTCTTATTCTTTCCTTCATTTCCTCGCTAGTTAATGGGCTAGTTTTATAAACCTCGTTTTTTACGAAACCCCACAAAAAATCTACTTAAGTGAGGTCAGGGGACCTGGGAGACCACATAACTGGACCATCTCTTCCAATCCACCTGTTTTCAAAATTGTGGTTCAGAAAGTTGCGAACTGGTTGAGCATGATGTACAGGAGCTACATCATGTAATATCCACATTCGGCGTCTTATATTTAGTGGAAAATTTTCCAATAGTAGTGGGAGATAATTCTGCAGAAAGTCTAAGTAGACCTCGGCAGTTACACGACCATAAAAGAAATGTGGTCCTGTGACATAGTCCCCTAATATATCACCCCAAACGTTAATAGACCATCGTTTTTGGCTATGTGTCATTAACTCGTAAGGATTGGTGGTGGAATAGTAATGAAAATTGACGAAACCGTTTTTGTGAAATGTTGATTCATCCCCAAAAAGTACACAATCAAAAAAATAATTTTCATTATTTATGCTCTCTATTGCCCATTCACAAAAAGCTATTCTTTTTTGAAAATGTTTTCAAGAAGCTCCTGATGACGTTGGATATGGTATGGATGTACTTTATTTTTTAATAGTATCCTATTGACAGATGATTTACTTATTCCCGTTTCATTTTTCATAATGCGTGTACTGGTGTTTGGATTTTCGGTAACACTAAGTAGAATACTGAGTTCATTTTGTTCATTTAAAGTTCGTTTTTCTCTATCATTTTTTTGATATGCTACATTACCTGTACGTTTGAATCTTTCCAACAGATTTTCAAAAATTTCTTTACGAGTTTGTCGGCGATCAGGATATTTTAGCTTATAAATTCTAGTTGCCAACAAGCAATTTTCATCACTAGCCCCTAGCACTAAAATCATATCAGTCAATTCATTCGTTTCAAAATTCATTTTTAAATTAGTCAAATCAATAAATTTAAATACTTGTGAACACTAAACGTAATTTTATTTTTTTATTTAAACAATTTGGAACTGTCAAATTATTCTTTTGACAAGAATTTTAAAGCCCACTTGACCTAACGCACAAAAAAATTTGAAGTTCTGTTAGCGTTTTCATTGCATTTTATATAAAAAGTTGTAAAGGTCCCAAAAAATAAATTCCGTTGATAAAAAATTGTACCAGGTACCTTAAAAATATAAACTGATTAACTAGTAACTAGTATGTAATATTTAACAGAAGTTTAAATCAAATTACATTGTGAATTTAGTTATAACTAACCCTTTTTAACATTTCATCTAAGAATCTCGCTACACTGTTGTGTTTAGGGATAGGCAATATTTAACTCAAACGAACGTATAATTAGAATACTTTTTAGTAGTAATATGAAATACAGGGTGTTACATTTAAAAAAATTGAGAAAATCATGTATCTAAGTTTTGACTCACCCTGTACACGTCTGTGGCGCTAGGAAAATATTAGTATATTCTTATAAAAGTAGACTATCATTAAAAATGATTCATCAAAAAATTTCGAGGTTTGATTGTTTCTTTTGAAATATAGGTTAACTCTGAAGTTATGGATCACTCTGTATAATCGAAAATAATTTTGAAATGTGCAGATTAATATTATCTACAACTTTTGTAAATTACATTGTTTGATATATCGAACTTCCACACACTACTGGGACACCCTGTATATGTTTATAAAAACACCAAAATTTTCAAAATATTTTTTTATTTTCTCACATCGCCCATACAAATCTGTCTTATATCTTATTTGCAGAGGTTATTTTAAACGTAGCTTTTCGGAAAATGTATTTCTTTGCATTCATTTTATTATTAAAAACTGTTCCGTGGTTGTTAAGACGTCTCGAAAAATTACTTTGACTTTTGGTATCTAAATCACAAGTATCATTGATTTGCCTATGAATTTTCTTGAAATCTAAACAAATTTATACGTTTTTTTTTTGTTATAATCCTTAAAACTTCAAATGTTTCTGAAATATTTGGTTTTTTTTTAGTTATAAAGTTAAAAATATTTTTAAATATTTTCATTCGAACGATTTAAAAAAAAAATCAATAAATTTATTAACGTTTTTCGACATAATATGACCAGATGCCGCCCTTAAAGGAAATGCGTGAGCGAAAGGGTTTATAATAGATTGACGTTAAAAAAATAAAAAAATTTGGCGATTCCTAGTTGGACCGGGCTAAAAGGGTTGCAAGGTGCAAAGCCCCGCGCCCAAGTCGGGTCAGTTTTTTGTGATAATGTGTGATATTGATTCTGGTGCAGCAAGCCGGCGCGATGCACGTGCATCGGAGGCGGCGGCATCGGCGGCGGGAAGCGGGCAACGAGCGGGGGTGGAGGCGGTGCAGCCAGACTAGAAGGACCGTACCGCCTGAAAGTTGAGTAGCGAACGGCATCAGCGGCACCGGCAACCTCGCATCGGCACAACGGCGGTCCATCTCGCGGACCTAGCGAGAGATCACAGCCAACAGCCAGCCATGAGGTCGACGGCAGTCTCAGTCTCCTCCATCCCCACTTCCATGGACACTCTAAAACTTGGGCAAAATTGTATGCAACGACGACATTGCCGTCCTCCGACCGTAACTCTTCTCTGACTCGGATTCTGTTCTTCGCCGCGGTCCAAAAGGATGCTGGTGTACCACCGGCACCGTTAACTCTCGACGCCGAACGCGGGACGGCGACGTCCTCGACTATCTCAACTTTACGCGCTTCTTCGTCCCGGTGTGTTTTGTTGGTTCGCTCGCTAGTTGTACTATAAGTGCGCCTACTGTCTGCCTGCCCCATGTGCTATTATAGTGCTTTTTTGCGAAAGTGACATTCAGTGCCCCCATGAGACCCCGGCGACATGGCCATCAACTTTTCGGCATCGTTTGCCGCCTGTCTGGCAGCGGGCCTCAAGGTGCCTCGCCAGATTATGTACTGCATTTCTCAAGGTAATACATACATATATACTTCTCTATACAAATGCTAATTCGAATCAACCCTCAAATGACTACTAACTATTTATTCCTGCTACGAAAATGTACCCTAAAATAACCATGTCAAAATATCTTCCTTAATCCATTTATTCCTGCTGCCCCCCATTTTTTTATATTGAACTTCTTAATGTAATGTATACAAATTTCTCGATACAATTTAAATCAAGCCTAAATACATAATTTATTATTACACAAAAATTAATATTTTTAATATGCTTTAAAATAATAAAAAGAACATCTTCTCTTATCATTTATTCTTACTGATTCTCCAGATTATATACTGAACTTTTTAATACACATTTTCCGATACGAACAATAATTCAAATTAAACCTCAATACATATAATTTGACTCGGCACAAAATAAATACTTAATTCTTCCTTAAAATAACAGAAAAACATGGTCCCTTTTTCTTTTATTCTTATGCCGACCCCTAACTAGATTATAAACTGCATTTCTTAGAGTAACACATACATACTCTCAAATCATTACTAACCATTTATTCCTGTTACGAAAAAAAGTAATACTTAATTCTACCTTAAAATAACACTGGAAACATATTTCCTTGTCCATTTATTCCTGATGCTTCGCCAGATTATGTATTGAACTTCTAAGATAACGTACATATTTCTCGATACAAACAATAATTCAAATCAACCCTCAATACACAAAAAATAATACTTAATTATTTCATAAAATAAAAAAATTACTTCCCTTTTCCATTTATAACTGCAGTCTAGTCTACCCCTCACTATATTATAATATACTTATTTCTTAGGGTGTTACATACATACTTTACGATACAAACGCTAAATCGAATCAATTCTCAAATCATTAATAATCATTTATTCCTGCTGCCTCACCAGATTATATTTTATAGTGAATTTCTTATGGCAACATAGATATTTCCCATAGATATTTCCCGACACAAATAATAATAATTCAAATCAACACTCAGTGCATAAAAAAAAACATTTTTTTCTTCTCCATTTATTCCTGCTGTCTTGCCCTCACTAGGTTATATACTGCATTTCTTAAGGCAGCACATACATACTCCTGGATTCAAATCAACTTTCATACTACTAATTAATATTTAGTTTTATTTTTGAATAGAAAAAATATTTTGCCTTTTTTAATTTATTCCTGCTGCCTCGCAAGCTTATATACTGTATTTCTTATGGGTCATTTAATATCAATTCACTATTAATTCTACTTTTCATACTGCTACATACAAAAATCTATTTTATACTAAGACAAAAAAAAATATTCCTGCTGCTTCTACAGATTACGAAGTGAAGTTCCTACAAATACCTAATTCTCGATATAATCACTTATTCACATTAACCCTCAATGCAGGGTTAATTTATCATTTAATAAATTCACCTCACTTAAAAAAATTAATCCTGCTTCTCAATAAAAAATTATTTATGCAGTCGTTACAGAATGAGTAGTGTATTTCTCAAGGTAATACATACATTATTCCCGATACAAACACTATTTCCAATCAACCCTCAAACCATTACTAACTCTATATATAACTCTATATTTATTCCTGCTACATACAAAATTACTTACGGTATTCTGCATTAAAATAACAATGTTGCCCTTTCCATTTATATGTTCCTGTTCGGATATACCATAAAATATTCAATATATACCTGCTAAATCTGCATTAACAGAGTAAAAATATATCCTTTATCTCGAACATGATTTTATTAAGAATAAATTATTATTAATTCTGCATCAAAATGATAAACTTTATATACTTTTTAAAATAACAAATGGATACCAAAGGAAACCAAAATCAAAGTTAAAATCATTAAATCCGTTAAATTGCTACACCAGACACAGGTATATTATTTATATTTCATTTAGCGTCACATTCATAATGTAGTACCCACACATTTATGCATTAAATCATTTTATTTTCTAAAATATTGTATGAAACCATTTACGACTATGAATTATTAAAATTGATTGACAAATAGAAAATTTACAAATGTACAAACCTACAAATGAAAAACTATAAACTTCAAGATGATCGATATATTGACATCAAAGTTGATTAAAAACTGAATTTTTGGTTTATTTCTGCTTGCTATCAAGTAACGCAAATGTTCAATCAATCTTACAACCACATGAAGTCTACATTAAAGTTGACAAATAACTTCAATTTGTTTATTTCTGTTATCGATTGGGTACCAAGGCAAAGCCTGCACCAGCAATACACTCAATACAGATTATAAATTTGTAGATTAGATTACTAATGAAATATTAAAAAATTGTAATTTTATAAGTTTCAACAAATGTCGGTTATACATCATTTGCATGAATATCTGGTTTTACACTTCTTTTGTTCTTTAAATCTCTCGTAGTATAACTTGCATACACCACCATTTATTCGAGCTAATAAAGTTTTTTAGATATCTTCATATTATCTTATTAAATATTCAAACATTCCTACATCATAAATAATATTAATTCAGAAAAAATATTCTATACATCATCATCATCATCATCATCACACTCAATATAATATAATATACCATCATTTATCATTTATTATGTTTATTTTAATCCTGCTACCGGATACATATTCGCAATCATCCCTGCTTGAGCTTTAACAACTCTTTTATCAAAATGTAATTGCTTTAATACCATAAATAAGTAATAAAGTTTCGTATTAACCTTACGTCAACAGTAAATAATTAGTAAGAAATTGATCCTATTCATTTTGATTCCGATATTGAAAATTAGATTTATTATTAATTCAAATTTTATTTTTCATTAATTAATAATGTTTATTCATGAAAAATATAATGTATCTAATAAATTATAATAGTTATAAATCACCAAAGTAAAATATGAATACACAAGCCAAGACAAGGAAATGTATAAGATATACAGGGTATCCCGAAATTAGACGGGCATGTTTTAACAGCGTAATCTACATCCTAAAATAGGAGGAAAAATTTATATAAACAGGTCCGAAAACGTTTTGTTTCCGAGATACAGGGTGTTATAGTCTATTTTTATGTATGAGAGAGTAATAAAACAGCATTTCTAATGCAAAACTTAGTACGGTCATTTTAAATATTTTTACAGAATAATCTAAATATTTCCTAAAATTGTAATAAATGTACCTGAGCTATTACAAGTTTTGGGTCTTTTATTGGTCCTTTATAAACATAAGCTGTACAGAACAATAGAAAAAGGTTTGGACAGGCCAAAAGCCCTGTGTATTAAAGATTACATAGCCGTATCTTAAGATTATTTTCAATAAGTACCTATTTGCCAATTTTGTTTTATTTTAATTCCAAGAATTTCTTACAGTAATCGAATTATAAGTAGATAAATACCTTCCCAACAAATTTCACCGAAAATGCGATTATAGGTTTTCCATTTAGTAAGGAGGTCCAAGTTGTGTATTCTTGACAGTTTACTAAATGTCGTTTAGTTGCAACTTGCAAGGTGCAGTGTGAATTCTAGTGTGATCATGGAAAATTTGGAAGGGCCGCGTAAACGACAAAAAATCATTCCTTTAACAGTTAATGAAACAACATTAATATTTAATTGTTTTAAATCATTTACAGACAAACATTTATGTAAATGTGTTGATGACACAGTGGAATTAGTTAGTAGTACGCTTGGTGTTGGGAAATCTACAATTTGCAGAGTTGTTAAAGAACAGAAATGTGGCGAGTTTCAAACAGCACGTAAAGCTCCAGGAAAACCAAAATGTCAATTAAAAAAAATCTTTTGAAAGAAAGACTTCGAAGGAAAGTGCATGCGTTCTTCTTTAAAAAAGAATTTCCGACAGTAGACAAAGTTCTTGCCACAGTTCGAGATGGTAAGGATTACCCTGAAATGAGTCGAAGCACACTATGGAAACTTTTAAAAGAAATAGGTTTTCTATGGAAAAAGCATTCCAGAAAGTCTATTTTAATAGAAAGAAGCGATATTGTAGTATGGAGAAGAAATTACCTAAGGACTACAAAAGAAATGAGAAACCAAAGAAGAAATATATTTTATTTAGATGAAACATGGATCAACGAGAGACATAAACCAAATAAATTTTGGCAAGATTAAACTGTTACAAGTCGAAGACAGGCTTTTTTAAATAATTTATCTACTGGTTTAAATCCACCATCAGGAAAGGGGTGCAGACTAATAATAGTACACATCAGTAGTTCAAACGGTTTTGTTAAAGGTGGTTTATTGACTTTTGAATCTACTCGTACCGGTGACTACCATGAGGACATGAATGCTGATGTCTTTAAAGAGTGGTTCAAACAAATTATAGATCTTCTTCCTCAGAACTGTATAATAGTAATGGACAATGCAAGCTATCACTCGAGACAGTAAATCATACGATTAAAGAAGAAGAGAAAATGTGGAAGTTGGACAATATTACTGATGAAATGATCGAGCCACTCATTGTAAATATTGGTTGCGACAGTTCATCTTCTGATTTCGATTCTGATTTGGATTTGTAGGTAAGAAGTAGTTTTTATATTAAAATTATTTTTTATGAACGTAACGTTGTATAAAAGTCAAAGTTTAAACCCTTATACCTACATAACCCGTTTGACACAATGTTCTTAACATACCTTGTGGAAAAATAAAACATTTTAGAAAAAATTGCACTTTTTTACCTTCAGCTGTTTAGAAGTTATAAGCAGGTTAATTAGGTGAAAATATAAGTGTATACTCGAGGAATAACTTCAAAAAATATTTTAACTGTCTACTAAAAGAAGTGGTACGCCTATGGATTACGAACGCTTTATTATTTTAATACTCTCTCATACATAAAAATAGACTATAAAAGTGAAGTCCTAATGACACATTTTTGTAAATATTTTCTAAACTTTTAAAGATTTTTTTTGCTACGAACATTTAGTTCATTCGCCTGTTTTGCCGATTTTGTCGATTTTGCTCATTTTTTACATTTACAAG